TCTACTCAATTCATAAATGTAATTAAATGATTTGTAAAAGTGAATTCAATGATAACCCACTTTTCAAGTGTTGGCTCGCATGGATTGAAAATGATTTGGTTACAGGATCTCATCATGAGGTGATATTTATTGGTTAGAGAACGATTGGAAAACCACCATGGAGTACTAGACAGCCAACTACTTCGTCTTAGTTTTGGGACTCCTCAGCGGTACGTACCTACCACAGAGGTTCGAACCCAGTACCCTCTGGCTACAAGGCTAACCAGCTCGTAGACCATTAAGCTACTGGGAACCGATCCAATGACCAGTTCATAAATTCTAACTTCTGCCAATTCCTGACATAGTGCGAATACTAGCTAATTTCATGGGCGAATATTTGCCCTCACACCCGACCTGCTGTACCTTATTGGTCACGACTCCTCACTAGAACCCAGGTAACTACCTACCTGAATAGGACCAGTCGCTAATCAGCATCAGATTGATTTTCAAGTAATAGTCACTTTTCATAATCAACCACAATGTATTTCAACAGCAATTCACTTGATTTACCGGATACAATGAAATCCCGTTATCCTCTAAAAACGAACTAAACAGTATGATATTGATTACTGTCTAGCTACTAACCGACTAGGCACATTTTCAACGGAATTTTTAGTTCCTCTTCAATTTTTACACTTCTCTTTCTCTCTCTCTTTAGTTTATCTCACTTATTAATGGGGGTTAGGCGTAGAGTGTTAGATAAAGAGGGTAAGTCAATCGATGAAGTTGTGAAACCAAATCGATTGCAATGGCACATCTAACCTTCCTCGACGACCGGCGCTATCCGACATAGGATTACGTTGGAAAAGAGTTAAGAATAGTCAAACCAAAACGTGTCACCTACCCATGAAGTCAAGTCTCTGAGTTGAACCAAGAGAGATTCTAAGGACCAATGGATGGGAAATACTAATGATATGTCTAAAAATCATTGTGAATGGGACAGATGCACACTCTTAGTAATCTTTTATATCCACTAAATCCTATTTTCCCATATAAGTATTCTGTCTTCCTCACTTTTCTGTTTATTATTACTTCTTTTGAATCTCTTTTCCCCTCTTTTGTCTACCTTTGTGTGCTACACGGAGCGTGGCAACCTGTACATTTGCACCTCTGTACAATGTCCTATTTTGAAACTTAGTCAGTCTCATATTATTATTATTATTATTATTATTATTATCGTGACAAAACTTACTATCCTACTCATATTGATGAAATACATCACTTTCAACCTTGAACTTATTTATTTGAAAGATGGTGAACGCATAGCTAATGAGTAAAGTTAAAACCATCGTCAATCTTTTGTAGAATAACAGCTGAAAATATTTGGCGATTGCAAATACACTTTTCAAGAGTTTGGCCTGTAAGGATTAGATTTGTTTACACGAGTTTGACCACGGATTCATATCAGTTAGAGAAGCATTGAAAACCAGTAGGGAGTACTGGACAGCCAGTGGATTCGTACTGCCGATGATTCCCAAACTAGGATGAAACAGTTGGCTGTCTAGTACTCCAGTGCTGGTTTTCAATGGTTTTCTAACTGATATCAATCCGTGGTCAAACTCATATAAACAAATACACTTTTACTATACTTACATATTGATCAGTGTCAATGTTTTTATCACTGTCTAGCTATGCAAAACTAGATTAGTTAACAACTGTGATAGAATCAGGACGTGGCATTAACTGACTATTGCATTAGATTACGGACACAGGACACACATGGTATAAATCAAAACCTTTCGTTACAATACAGATGCTCTTCTAAATTATCAGCATTATATTATTCTTTATTCATTTGTTCATTCCCAGATATATATCCTCTAGAAGTTGTCTATTTCATTGGTGTTATTATGTGTGACAACTTGGAAGAATTACACGTTTGTGAGATTCTGTGACGTTCTCTCTACCCTTTTATTGTTGTATGCTGTAATCTTTCAAGTTGGCCATAATTTTCTCTACTTTTTATTTCTTTTTGAAAAATAAGATCTGGGGATAGGATGAATGCTGACCATAGATGGAATTTTCGAAGACTCTCACATAGTTTGAGTATATCAGTTAATCAGTTACTTTACTGAACTTATAAATTATTTGTAAATGATAGAACAATTACAGATACTCAGATTCAAGGATTGATGCATACCACTTTTCTAGAGTATTATTATTATACTCTTTAATTCCTAGAGGAACATAGGGCTTCAGCCACTCAAGTCTCCATTGCCTTCGGTTTTCCACCAACTTATTCACCCCACTCCACGTCTACCCATATGCTTTCATCTCCTGTTCACATGACCTCCTCCAAGTCACCCTTACACTGACTACCAACTCGCCGCTTCCCTTTCGGGTTCCACTCGAGCAGTGGCTTGTCTAGTGATGTCACTTGATAGTTTCCTCAGCGTATGGCCAATCCATCTCCATTTCTTCCCGCCTATTTGTTTCACAATCGGTTCCTGCTGTGTTGGTTCGCTCATTGTCAGAGATCCCTCTCTGTGGCTGATCTTTTCTGGCCGGCCATCTGATCTTGAGTATTGAGCGAAGAAAACTGTTAATGAAGGTCTGAAGTTTGTTTGAGGTGCTCTTTATGACGCACTAGCCAAGTCTCTGATCCGTATAGTGAGTAGCACTGACTGACTTCACATTGGAGTTGAAAATCCGGATCTTATTTTCATTGTCATGCTGAGTGATGTTGACCTCCACACAGACTTCGAAGTAATGAAAGCTTGTCTTGCTTTTCCGATTCTGGCTTTGATATCCTCATCAGTTCCGGCGGCCTGTAGTTGGAACCACTGCTTCCCAGGTAGGTAAAGGAGGTTGTTTCTTCCAGATTCCTCCCATTCATGCTGAGTGTTGTCTGTTGTTGTTGTTGCTGTTGATGTTGGCTAGGAATCTTCATCACCTCTGTTTTATCTATGTTCCCTGGAATCCTATCTTTGATGCTTTTTTTGCCAATTTGTTGCTTTTTACTTGCATATCTTCCAGTTTGTGGGAAATCAGACATATATCATCGGAGAAGTCCAGATCCTCCAAGTCCTTTTTTGTGTGAGTCCATTTTATGCCCGTGTTAGAGTATTTTTAAGAAGTTTTACAGCAACATTAGTTGACTTTTTCTCCTTACACTCTACAAGTAACCTCATTATGAATGTGCATATTGCTTCAATTTACATAGAAGAGATTGAATAGAAGAAAAAACTAGACAAACAGGTATAAGATAAACACCAAAATACCGAATTCAGTACTACTATTTAATGACTGAAGTTCTAATTTGTCACACCTGAACTCTGAACAACTAGTAGAAAGTAAGAGAAAGGGATGAACATAGATAATAAAACCCTCAAAAGTGGTAAAATGTAGTAAAAACCAAGTGATAAAACTAGTAAATACCAGAAAAATTAAAACTAAATTAAAATGAAGGTACAGTATGAGTACATCTGTAACACAACACACAACTCTAAGCTATATCACCAGGATATTGTAGACATCAGTTTTCCTTAACATATCCTTCGTTTCTTTGCGTTCCAAATGGAACACTAAGCTTGAAGTCTTAAACTTTAACATTTCATTGGCACTTATGGTGCTTTAACGGGGTGAGGGTTGCTAACCTTATCTCCAACCTTCTCTCTTTCCCAGGCTTACTGCTGACCAGGTAAAGTTTACGACTATGTCAGCCGGAAATCAAACCGTGACTATGTGCATGGTTAGCGAGCATTCTAGCCCCACTGTGAAACCATTAACGCAGTAGGGTACAGCAGGTTGAAGATGAGGCAGTAACTCATCGAAAAAGACATTGCGAAATGGCCACGCTATGTCGTGAATTGGCAGAAGTTAGAATTCATGAAATGGTTATTGGATCGGGTCCTAGTGGCTTAATGGTATACGAGCTCGCTTTGTAACCAGAAGGTCCTGGGTTCGAACCCTGGCGGTAGGTGTGTACTGCCGATAATACCAAAACTAAGCTGACGAAACAGACAGCTGTCCAGTACTCCCTGGTTTTCAATGGTTCTCTAACTAACTGATGTCAGCCCATGATGAAATCCTCCATCCATTAACGCAGACCTCAAATGCTACAAAACCAATACTCTTCTACATGTTGGCGCCAGTAACTTCATGGATTTGTATATCATCTATATACACCCGACTTACTTTGACTTTATTTCAACATATAGTGGTACTTTAGACGTTACATAATAGCACATTAGAAAAAGCAGAGAGTAGAAGACGAAATATGTATACATAAACATACATTCTCTATGCATTCCTGATGTCAACCAATAGGGGTATTTAAATTTTTTAACGAATCCTATCATCGATTAATTCCCTTTGAAATAACTGATGATTATGATTAAAGTTATGTTAGAAGAAGAACAATTGGATGTTGAATTTGGTTAGGCAGCAAAAATCTTCAATTATACGCATTATATGCCATTGACTTTACAGTACAAATCAACCTAGTTACAAATATTAAAAATGAATCTGTTACTTTGCAATTAACTAAATATCACCTTATCGAAGGAGAGAGAGAGAGAGAGAAAACAAATAAGAAGAAATTCATATCACACAAATTAGTTTTTTAGAGGAAACTAAAATATAAATAAAACTGAAATACGCCACCATCAATCAAATAAAATGGTGAAATATTTTGAATAGAAGTAGGAGAAATACTTAAGAAACTAACCAGCTCAACAACAATAATATTAGTAACAAAAAAAGGATGTTAAACAAAAATTTCATCAGTCAGTAATTTCAACCAGGTGATGGTCACAGTTTTCAAGGTTTTCAAAGAAAGACTTTGTAAAAAAGAAAACTAATACCACCTTATTCGAGGGTTGACAACCCTACTTTCTGTCAACCCAATGTGAAAAAAAATGTGAAAATAACAAAAAATAACTTAGACAAACACTTTTCACACAAAATCCTTCATATATTATTACTATTATTATTATATTTGTTATAAGGTAAGTACTTACGAGGTTTATACACAGGATTATACTCAGGATTAAGATTGTGATTAGAATCCAGCGCTGAATTCATCTTGTCGGCATCTTTCAACTGTCTGTTCCCAGTAGTAGATACACTATTATTATTATTACTACTGCTACGATATTGCGGAAGATGATGATGATTCTGGAGAGGAGGAGGTGGTGCCGGTAGCGGTGGCGGTGGCGCGGCAGGAACACTAGGACCAAGATGATAATGATAATCTTGTAAATCTAATGATTCCAAATCATGATTAAACGGTAGTTCACATTCATTGAGAACAGTTAATCGAAGATTATGCACACCATTGCATAGTGCATGACCTGATTTACGATAGGCTTTTTCATCGATTGATTGACCAGCAGCCAGACGACTTAGTATATTACGGGCTGTATTCACAAAATCTGGTGTATACTAGATATTTTTGTTTTTCGAATTAACAAAAGCAAAAAAAATGTTTATTAAAATAAAGGAATTAGGGAAAGACACTCATGAGTTGAATGAACAATGGAAATACTTTAAACACAAATGCCTACTACACATTATAACTGAGCTCAATGTAAATGAAATTGGAATAATTAATATATTAAGTTAAAATGAAAGCATAAACAAAATGACCTTAACAACTGACCTTAAACAGTCAATAATAGTAATAGTAGTAGTAGTGTATTTTAAAGAAAATTCTTAAAAACAAAAGTGTACTTTGACACATTTACATTCATCTTCTAGTATTGATGTTACTTTTTCAAAAAGAAATTTATAAGTATTCTGTGTTAAAAAACTTTAAGTATTGGTAAGAGGCCTGCTTTGCATCAGTAGTTAAGTGGTAAAATATGGGCCAGCAACGCCGCACGTGATCCCCAGCCAACGCACTCTCCAGCCTTGCTTAACCGGGTATTAAGTCCGGTAAAGAAGGAAGCTTGGGTGTGAGGCAAACAGCCCCACTGAAACTTTAAAGTTCAAGCTTGAAACCCTGTGTTTCCTCTCGGAATGCAAAGGATTAAGAAAACAGGCCTTGTATATAAACATTCGGTAGACATTAAACTCGTCATCCTTTTAACTGATTATACATTTCTAATCGTTACGCTCAGTAATTGGCAAAAGTTTTTTGGAGACATAATATGCAGCTTGATGTTACACAATGAAACCAACTTATGAAAATACCTATGACTTTCATCTTCACTGTTTATAATTCGATCTAAATGTAACTCTGTAACTTTGAAAGTAGGTTTTTATATCTCTAGTTCTTCTGTTTCACTGGTCGTAGGAGTAGCAGATCCAGGTAAGAGTGCTCTAATTATAATTCATTCTCAAGTGAACTATTAACCAATGTTTTAAATGTTAGAAAAATCCAACTCACAATTTCAATTTATACAGTTCGAGGTGAAATCCCACTACAATTTCCCTTGAAAACTTATATGCGTAAAACTACATGCCACTGATTGAAGTGCTTGCTAGCCGAGATAGAGGTGATCTAAACACCGGACGGCCATTTCGGTCGTCTAGGGCCGAGATCATTAGAGGTGTATCCAGTTTGACTCAGGTCGGATGGCCGAATCAGTTTAAACCCCTCGACCACATATTGTGGACTGGTATACAATTACTCATCTCAATCAATTAGTAGTATATAGTTTTACTTAAAATACCAATCTCTCCCTCAATCCTTCGATACTACACTTTAGAGCCGTCACTTTTTCATCCTATTCTGCGGTTACGTGTGACCGCATGTAGTGCTACACTTGAGGTTATTATTAGATGTATTACCTTAATAGGCCTTACTAATCTATATTTCAGCGCTAATCTACCTGACCTTACCTAATGCCTCCATCTATATATTTGACCAGCATTTATTGGATGGTTTTAAATGGTTTCCACGAGATATTTGAGCCAACAAAGCTAACTCTTAATTGTACTCGTGAGAGTTTAAATGTCACTACTATTCCTGCTATGTTAAGAATACTGAGTTAGTTTTCAGAAATACCTCCTTTTTTATGTCAACACTTAGGGTGTTCTGAGTTTCCTCTTCTTCGTCATGCATACAAATAGTGTTACATATACTAGTCATTGTATTTTATCTCACCACACAGAATTCCGGACGAATTTGCCATGGTAATTACTCAGTGCTTATCTTTTTTTTCTCCTATTACGTAAACACGTCTACTAAATTAGCGTTGGATATCTTGAAGTTCAAAGACCAAGTTGGATATGTGGATTTACTGTAACTTCTCATGTATCTTAATGTAGTATCAAAATCTCCACACACACCCCTCCGCAATGACTTTTTAATTTATGTGTTTGAAGAACTTATGTATATTCTCGGTTTTTAACACTATATATGTGTTATCCACAGTTGAAGGAAGGATAGGTTAAAATCAAATTGTTATTTCAGAAACTTGATGCCGGTGAGAACAATGGCAAACACCTTAATTTCATTTTTCCACAGTCAAATGAACTTCCAAGGGATCGTACAGCTCCCGTTGCCGACATAGTTCTAATTTTGCCCTATTCTAGTCGAGATAACGTGTCTTGGTATGCAGGCGTAATGATACATCATAACCAAAGTACACCACTCAACGTAAACTGAGTACCTCACCAAGTGGTGTACACCCTTTACTTATTAATTTAAAATTATATTTCCACAGTGTTTACACAGCGATTCGACTGGCAATAGGCGATAACAAGATGACAAGGCTGACTGATAAGCCATTTCCTTTATGGGTCTTTACAGTCCAACTTTCACAGACAAGTAATACGGAAAGGAACAATGTTGTATAGTAAACTTGGCCCTTCGTGAATGTTTATCAAAGGTACACCATATGTAAGGTAACGATAATTCTTATTTCACGTATTTATTAACTTCTCGTCTAAAGAAAAGACTACCACTTAGCTTGTTTGCACCTGTACCAGTTCATGTACACTAAGGCAATGCTATAAGTCTTTACAGTATCTGTTTTGCAAAGCACAAGTGAAGAAATATGATATTTGTATTGACACAAATCTTAATATTCTTCTAACGATGTCACACTCATGAAGCCTTGGTAATAACATAACTGTGTCAAAAATACCAAGACGACATCAAAATGGCAAGTAACTACAGTTCTCTTCTACTACGACAAGTTTCTGAGTTACAAATATTCAATGCCTAAATGTTATTTTATCTATTCGGTGTACCTTAAAGTGATGTCCGAATTGAGTGTAAACTAGTAATTACGCCTAATTAATCATGGCGCACCCTTAACAGAAAATAGATGAAGGAATTTCGTAAAACTTGTTCTGCATTTCATGATTTGAATTTATTAAGAGATCTGAATGCATATGGAAAGAACAAATAAACAGAAATACAAAGTGATAAAAATAACCAATCTGAAACACTGCGATCTATGTCTTTCATATTCACATATTCATCACAGCTAACTGCTGATCAAAGGCTGATTAGACAACCAACCAAATGGGAGAATCATGTACAAGAAACATGTAAATATTGTGAAATTGTTCTACAGATGGATAAATAACTAGAAAATCAGTGAAATATTTATCTTAACAAAAAGCCTAGCTGAAGGTAAAAATACTTTTTCTCCGATTCTCTTCCTGTTCGAAATCACACCAAGATAACACCTCCATCAATTCTTCTCTTCTCCTTACCGGATTAACATGACTAGAATAAATATTATATCCTGTTGTGTATAGAGAGATATGACTCAATGTATTAATCCTTCAACTTTTAGACAATGAGCCACAGGTTCCACTCCCGCTACAACATACTTCAGCCCGACGTGTAACTGGATAGTATTATCAGTCTCCCCATACGATAAATGGGACTCTTAGCCTAGATAACTAGGTTAAAAAAAAAGAAATACGGCCCATTCTAAACATAAATAAATATAAATTTATACTACTTTCGTTTAAATACACCATAGAAAAGTGTGTTCGGGTCAAGTGAAAACAAGTAAACACTTTTTTCTAATTTACACACATACTTACTTGATCACGTATAAGTGTAACTTTTTCCATTACTTGATCTACATATTCTGTATTTTCAGTTCGTGCAATCATTTTATTCAACACCATCTCACAAATATAAGCTGAACGCTGTTGCATTGAAGTTGATGTCTGTTGGACGTTCAACTCATCTTTATCCTATTGATTTTTGAAAAAAATACAATGTTGTGACTATTGAAAATGTTCGGGAGAAATAATTGAAAAGTCGAGTAATTACTTAGTTAAATAACAGTAGTATTAGTAGTAAATACAACCTAGAGATTTGTTTTCCAGTGTTAGTTTGTGGGGGACTTGGCTACTTTTAGGTCCGATCATGAATTGACATCCGTTAGAAAACCACTAAAAGTCAGTGTTTCGTGATTTCTAGCTCCACCAGCAGCCAATATCATCGGTGAATATTTGTCTTCCCCCTCAATCAGATGGTCATGTGAATCGATAAAGTTAGAATCCATGGACTACTGGATTTCACCCCCAGTAGATTCTTAATGGTACACGTGTTTGTCTCGTAACCTGAAGGTTCTGGACTTGATCCCCGGTGGAGTGATGGCCACAAATCACTGAAGAGTGCTAAACCAGGACGAAACAGCTATCCAATACTTTCTAGTTTTCAGTGGTTCTCTAACTGATATCACTCCGTAATCAAACTTGAAACCACAAATTTGTGTTTTAAACTGTAATGGACAGCATTCATACTCTCTTAAATAGGCATCCGGATTCGAAATAAAATACTGGCTGATAAAGTCAAATGTTTATACCAATGAAGTACAGCTTTATTATTTGATTACTGACGACTTCACAAAAGTCATCTCTGATCATCTCGTCTACACACATCGTAAATACTAAATATCAGTAGTGAAAGTATGCTGAACAACTGGCAGTTTGAATGAGAAGTAGGAGTCGAGTCTAAGCATCTCAATTCAAATTACTTATCAAGTAATTCACTGTCAAAATTACTTAACTTAGATATGACTTGCATTTAATAGTGTTCTCTGAGCTGGTTGGTTTAGTTGCGCGGAGCTTTCGTCCTCCTCCTGCTGAACATCATCTTCAGCGAAATATTTAGCATAAAGTGAAATGATTTAAATTTCTTCATGAATGATATAATTGCGTCTCCCGGTAACCATCTTTACATATGTATTGACCATTTTCTATTGACTTGGATTTCAAACTTTCTGGCCACCTGATTTACTTTTTATTAGTTGGTATATTTCGTCTATATTAACGTGTTTGTTAATTGTATATTCGTCTGAGTACCAGGCGCTTCTAGGAATTCCCCGACTGCACTTTTGGTGTTTCTTCTGTCTAGGATTTCGACATTATCCCAATCAAATTGACGCTTATAATTGTCTATATGCATTGATACTAAAGAATATATATCGTGTCTTTTCACAGCTGGATCCTTCGGTTTGCATAATATCGAATTAAGCGATTGGACTGGCTTGTGTGTTAAATCTATATCAAGCGGTTTCAGTATTCTAACTATTATTTCAGAGATATTTCTCATGTATGGTAGGATGAATTTCCTTTTGATCTTTGATGATGGTTCCTTGTTGGTGTTTTGATTTGACTTTAAACACTTTTTGATGAAATTTTGTAGATAACGGTTCTTTTTTGGAGACCATTTGTAGGTATTTTTCTTTCATTCTTTTCAACTCTGGAGTGCTACAGTGTGTTTGAACTCTTTTAAACAATCCAATTACTCACAAAAGAAACGGTGTGCAGACATTGGTTAAATTATGGACATCAATTTACTTGGGATAATGTCAAAATCTTAGACAGAAGAAACACCAAAAGTGCAGTCGGGGAATTCCTAGAAGCCCTGGTACTCAGACGAATATACAATTAACAAACACGTTAATATAGACGAAATATACCAACTAATAAAAAGTAAATCAGATGGCCAGAAAGTTTAAAATCCAAGTCAATAGAAAATGGTCAATACATATGTAAAGATGGTTACCGGGAGACGCAATTATATCATTCATGAAGAAATTTAAATCATTTCACTTTATGCTAAATATTTCGCTGAAGATGATGTTCAGCAGGAGGAGGACGAAAGCTCCGCGCAACTAAACCAACCAGCTCAGAGAACACTATTAATTGCAAATCATCCACCTGAGCTACAAATCTTCTCTATTATTAAATATGAATTGATTCAATAATGTGTGGTTCTGTGAAGAGAATGAGGCGAATACACACCCAATTAATAATTAACCGTGAGAACTGTTAGTCTTCTTCATAACTTGACAAATTCTTTGGATGGAATTATAAAAACTTTTTATAGTAATTTTTGTGAATAACATCACCAAAAAAGCTTACTGATAAGGCACGAATTGACTTTTGATATTCCATCATCATTAGATCATCAGAGACAGCTAGAAAATCATGCATACCAGTTAAATCATTAACGCAAGTGTACAATAAATTCACAGCTTCTTCATACGCCTTACGAAATGCTTCATAATTTGATTCAACAGACTATAAAATAAAGGAATAATAAAAACGACATAATGAAAATAGTCATCAAAAGGAGACAAATTTATGAACACGTCAATTATTTGAGCAATGTTACCTTCGTAGTATGACTTACATTTGGTAGAACTATCATGTCAGCAATGCAGAAGTTAGGCGCTAAGGTGCAAAATGAAAAATATAAGCCAAGTTATATAACTGATATTTCATGTGACTGGCACATGTGTTGTTGCACATACCTCTCCATTTTCAACCTCGACATGTTATGTCAGTTAGGAAGACATGGCTACGCCTATCGACGCCATAGTTGTACATTATTGAAATCCAGAATGAAGTGAATGTAGAAATCTGATCCTGCAACTTTAGCTGAAGTTGAAAAACCTGATGCTTATCTAAAAGGCTTAGCAATAGGACCTTATAGTTCGATTTCGGAGGCGTTTAAGAATAGTGATAATGAGTTATGGGTCAGACCAGGACAATAGATAGAGCATGGAGATGTGAGATATCCCATGCCATATTGGTATTAATTGTTGATGATCCCATTAAAATAAGGATGGGAGAAAATCTTCTTGTAATAATCACAAGAGGATTAACTTGACTAATGGATGACCTAACATCTCAGGGTTCATATACATACGAAGATTATGCAGGACCCAGGAAAAATGAGTCCATGAACATCATGGGGGTTTGGGGTTTTTGAAAGCGTGTACCAATCAAGTCCTGATGATTAAATAGGTCTTGAACACCTTGAGCAGCAATCTTCGTATGTTTGGCATGCGATTCGCCCCTGCAAAATGTAAGATGCTGCTACAGGACCGGACTATGTCAACTCCTAGCTTAGTGACAGGGAGTGAATTGATAGAACATGTTGACCACTTCACCTATTTGGAAAGTTGTATCAGTACCAACGGACTGATTGGCGACGAAATCTCAGCAGGGATCAAAAAAGCTTGAGCTGCTTTCGCTGACTTACACCATCTCTGGCGTAGGCGTGACATCCGGCTATCAACCAAGGGACGTGTATACTGCTCAGCACTTCGCTCGGTCCTTCTCTATGGCTCTGAAACATGGCCAATACGAGTTGAAGACATGAAAAGGTTGACTGTTTTTGATCATAGATGTCTGCGATCTCTTTCTCACGTTAGGTGGTTTAATAAGGTAAGTAATGTTGACGTTAGCCGTAGTGTTGGGCAAACAGGGAAAATCAATCGACGAGGCTATAAAGTTACATAGATGGCATAGAGATGGCTAGGTCACGTGGTGCGCATGCCTAACCACCGCCTCCCCCGACGGGCATTGCTAGCTGATATGGGTGCAGGTTGGAAAAGAGTAAGTGGTGGCCAAACAAAAACATGGCATCAATCCATGAAATCCTTGACAGTTAATCTGAGTCAGGTAGGGAGGGAGATGCAGACTTCCGGGTTGGGGCCCTCGGGACTCTAGGAATCAATGGCTGGAGACAATAGATGACATGGCTCAAAATCGTTGTCAAAGGCGCAGATGTATTCAGTCTCTGTAATCTTTCATATTTCTTTCTACCATTACCCATTCTGTTTCGCTCTTATACTTGTCAAACTCTATTGATTCTCTTCACTCATCTTCTTGTCTACCTTTGTGTGCTATTAGGAACGTGGCAACTGGAACTGCTGCACTTCGGTGCCAAGTTCCATGCTGAATCCAGACAGACAGAACACAGACATACTCCCAGGCGCCTAGTGCCCGGCCCTATTCGGGTAGGCAGTCAGTTGCCTGAGTTCTAATGATAAGTCGCGACCAATGGGGTACAGCACGTCGAATCTGAGGACAATTACTCGCCTATGGAATTAGCTAGTAGTCGCACCACATCGTCAATTGGCAAAAGCTGGAACTGATTGAATGGCCATTGGATAGGGTCCTAGTGGCTTAATGGTCTACGAGCTCGCCTTGTTACCAGAAGGTGCCGGGTTCGAACCCTGGAGGTGGGTGCGTGGTGATGAAGAGTCCCAAACTAGGCTGACAAAACAGTTAGCTGTCCAGTACTTCCAGCTGGCTTTCCAACGGTTCTCTAACTGATGTCAGCTCATGATGAAATCCTGTGACCAATCAAATGAAATCCCCGCAAACCAACACTTGAACTTGTCATATTTCTTGACCTGAAAGAGGCATTTGATTGTAACGTTCCAGAGGTGTTGTGGCAATATCTGGTTGTCAAAGAAATCCCGAGAAAGTGTACTCAAACTCATGCAACCATGTAAGAGATTGTGCTTAGTTTTCATCTGAAGTCACGGCAACTTTTAGTGCGTATTACTATCATTCTAACTTATTTTTATCGCAGACGTACTGCTGTAGACATAACTCTGTCTTCTACTTTTGTTTTGAAGCAATCAACAATCCTTACATCAGTTTTCTTGTTTTGTTAATCCTTTTCATCATTACTTTTCATCTTGACGTGTAGACAAAATATGTGTGAGAAATGGGATCACTACACAATTATGCAAATTTCTATGTTGATAAGGAGTTGCTCAATGATAAATTTGAAGAAAAGTAAAGAAAATCTAAAAACCTGTTGATTGAAGTAATAATTAAATAAAACAATACTGATGTCGACTCATGTTTTCTATCATTACTTAAATCTAAACTATGGAAACAATATCAGTAACACAAAGTGCATTCTATAGTTTCGCATTTTCAAACAAGCAAAAGGGAACTGTGCACTCGTCAGATTTTGGAAAACTAGATGGAATTTATAGCTCAAGCTGATGCTTTAGTGCTGAGTTCAAAATCTCTATGATTTCTCAGTCGAAATAGTGTCTGTCGTTGTCTACATGCAATTGATTATAAGGGAATATATGTCATGTCTTTAAACACAGGAAATACTAAGAATGCCAAAGAGTATCTAGGAGACTGATACTCGGATCAGTCTACACTTAAGAAACATTCTGATATACATAAACTTTATCGACCAATCAATAACAAGTGGCACAGTTAAATACCAGGTCAGTGAAACAAACAATTAACAAAGACTCGAGTACATAAAATGGTAAGAAATTTACTGAAGATAACTAATCTCAATCAAGATTATGTGGTTCCAGTTTAAACTGAATAATAGGCGACTGAGGGATAAATACAGATCACTCCCATTATACATCAAAACGTGCCGCTTGTTATTCAAATAATTAATTCTGAAAGCCTGTAAACGACTTATCTTCTAGAAACTTTGTTGAACTAATCGAGTCCATTCTAAGAAACAGCTCAGTACTAAATATAACAGTAGTTTTGCAGACATTTTTAACCTATGGTACACTACTTGGCACTACAAAACCTATAATAAAAAGCAGAAATATTCAAAAAGCAATAAATTTATATACATGTATAGCTTTTACCTTAGATGAAGGATATTTGAATAGTAAATAAGCCATATTGATAACCTGAGGTACAAGTTGTTCCATTTGTTCACAGGCTAACTGAATTTTACTAGACGATTCTTCATCCATACTTAATGAACAGAGTTGATAAGCTGATGATATCATAGATACAGAACGTTTCTAAAAGTAGAAGAAAAGAACACAGAGACAAAAAAGTCCATTGCATCTTGTGTATTCATGATAATACTGAGCTGGGTATAGATTAAAAGGAGTTTTACGAGTAATGAAAACCGCTGATTTTCAATTATTATCATGGTTATTACAATTAGGTTAAACTTAAACCGTTGAACAACATCACACACACAATACCATTGAATGGAACCTAAAGGGGAAGCGACCGGTTGGCCATCCGAGGGTGACATGGAGGAGACCGTGTGAGCAGCAAATGAAATCTTATGAGGGAATCGTAGAGTGAGCTAATAAAGGTTGAAGTGAACATAGTGAAATGGTGACGTGCTACTGAAGCCCTATGCTCCACACGGAATTGTATTTAAGAAGTAAAAGTAGGCGAAAGACGCCTGATATCACTTGGTGTCGAGTCACTCTTCACAAATGTCCCAATTAAGAAAACTATTTGCTTCCTTTACAAATAAATGGAAGACAACAACATGAATATTCGATTATAAAATCCTAGATTGAAAAAACTCCCACTGAGATGCATTCTGAAAGTCTAATTCACAGACAGTAAAACGGTGTAGCTATGGGATCACTATTAGGTTCAGTATTTGCAGATATTTTCATGGCAAGTTTGAAAAACGGTCTATTGAAATGGAGCTAAACTGTTTGTTCTGATTTCTATGTCTGGTTGAGTTCTTTTCGTGAGTAATAATAACAACATAGTAATTCATTCAGTATCCATGAAATAGGTCTCACTTCGAAAATCCTCTGTTAGCATAAAAAGTACTACTCAATAAGACAAACCTTAAGATATTTATCGAATTGAAATCTGAAGATCTAATCTAGTAACATTTTAAACTACGAAAACTAGTAAAGTGGGACGGACATCTGATAAATAAACTGACATGAAGGAAAAATACATTGGCAATTTCTGTTTAGTTATACAGAACTAAGTGTGTCGGTGGTTCAGCGGACCATGTACGTGGTCCGTGGTTTGATTGTCAGCCGGTGCACACCTTTACCTCCTTTAGCCAGTTGCAAGCTGGGTAAAGAAGGAAAGATGTGTGTGAGGCTAGCAACTCCACCCCGTAAATATAAACACCATTGCTACTGAAACTCCAAAGCTTAAGGTTGACGCTTTATGTTCCACTCGGATTGCAAAAGAATGAAATAATAATATTTCTATAGTTTTGGTTTGTAAGGATTAGTTATGTTTTACGAGTTGATCACGGATTGATATCAGTTAGAGAACCATTGAAAACCAGGGAGTACTGGACAGCTGCTGTTTCATCCTAGTTTGGGAATCATCGGCAGTACGCACCCACTGGGATTCGAACCCAGGACCTTCCGGTTACAAGGCAAGCTCGTATACCATTCAGCCACTGGGACCCGATTCAATGGCTCGTGAATTCTAACTTCTACCAATTCGTGATTTAGCGCGACCCCAACCATTGTCGTTGGTGGGACATCCATCCACACACGTGACATCTAATTGAACTTCACTGGTCACGACTTCTCACTAGAACTCAGGAAACTCCAACCTCTCTAACTGATATCAATCCGTGATCAACTCGTAAAAGAAATAATAATAACCATAAAATATAAAATTGAAACAATAAAGGATAAATTACCTGAAATAGCTGAGATGCAGCATCTATTCGGTGTTCAGACCCGAATTTAGTTGCATCACTTAACGCCATTAAACATTCCTCTTTAGTCATGAAAGCATTCGAAGTATAATCAATAGCACAACGTATAAGTAATTGTTTTAATGAACTTGTCGTTTTTAACAACTTTTGTATAATGTCATCCACTTGTCTACTATTGACTGGCTAATATAATATGAAGAAGAAGAAAGATATACTGTAAGGAAGTCGAAGTATAAACTACACTTAATATATCATCAGAGAGATAGTTATGGGTATACATATTAGAGAATTCAAACTTTGATACAACAATTCACCAGTTTACTAATGCTAATATATTCACCAATATAAAGAAAGCTAGTTGCAAACGCCGATATCGGATCTAACACTTGTAGATAATGAAACACCTAGAAGGTAAAAAAAATGTCTATCGTCAACGTATGAAAATACATACTACAGATTTTTTGAGATGAGTAGTTGTTAACCACTCACATCAACCAGATCGAAGTTATCTAAACAACGGACGGTGCTTACACTCGTTTGGAGCCAAGCTACAACACTGATGTACCAGGTATGATTCAGCTAGTTATAAATCGGGTGGTGTGAACTGATTTAGCCATCTGAGCTGAGTCAAGGCAGGCATATCGCTGATGAGCTCAACCCTAAACGGGCGAGACGACCGTCCAGTGTTTAGATAACTTCAATCTGATTGATGTGAATGGTTAACAACTACTCATCTCAACCACTCAGTAGTGCATAGTTTTACGTGTTCACGCTAGGTTTCTTGATTCCCATACACGGTATCAAGCAGGTCGTATATTGAGATTTGAATAATCTCAATTTTCAAAGGAAACTATGGGGAAATAATCACCTCGAACTATGTGAATTATGAATTAATTTGAGAAATACGAACTAATTTGGAAATTTAGAAAATTTAGAAAAATGACTAGCTGTATTTATCGCAGCTATATTCGAAAAGAGTCCCAATGTTTACAGGATTTCATCATGAGCTGACACTGGTAAGAGAACTGTTGGAAAACCAGCTGGGAGTACTGTACGGCTAGCTGTTTCGTCTGCTTAGCTTGGGACTTTTCATCACCACCCACCCACCTCCAGGGTTCAAATCCAGGAACTTCCGGCTACAAGGCGAGCTTATACACTATTAAACCACTGGGACCCGATGCAACGGCCAGTCCATGTATGGTAACTTCTGTCAATTCACGATGTGGTGCGACAACTAGCTAATTTTAATGGCGGGTATTTGCCCTCACCCGACGTGCTGTACCCTACTGGTCACGACTTCCCACTAGAACCCAGGTAACTACCTACCTGAATAGGGTCAGTCCCATTGTTATTATTACTATTAGTCAGATTCAACAAAGCAAAGCAATTTCATGAAGTTAGAATTACACCATATTGCTGATAAATGTTTTTCAGACTTTTTCTTTAACTTGTTACAGCTTACCTCTACATCAATCTACATATAATTCACACCCAAAATGCTAAATCACCACCGATTCATCACTTTTGTAGCCATTATCACAGGGGCATACTGTTAGAAATTATTTAACTCCATCAATAAAGGTGGAGTGGTACACAACAACAAAAATTCAACAATTCCTAAAAAGGTATTCAACTCTTCCCTTCACACTCTCCTGCAGTCAACTTTCCACTGATTTCCCAAGAACTCACTTTCTAATAAGGTCGTCAAAGTGAGAAATGAGAAGAACCCCTACAATTGCAGAATTTCTGTACATATCAAGATTGTACATGAAACTTTGTTTTTTTTACTCGTCTGTCTGGTGATTTAAAAAATCAAACACAGTTAAAATTTGAAGAAAAAACAACAAATTCGCCTTCAACTATAAGAACACACATGCAGACATTCCAATAAACTGTATCGAATTTCATCACTTTTTGATGTGAGTTAAACATCAGTTTATCTATCAAAGAAAGTTGGTAAAAGGTAACCGTACACAGTTCTTCATGTAGCGGTGAGGCATTTGTTTAGAGCAAATATCCAGTTACTATCATTCTTATAGTACAAAGATATTAACAGAATAAGTTGAGGACAAATGGTCTAAGATATATGGAAAAATTCCCTCCACTTTCATGTCAATGGAATCCAGTTAAAAACGAATTAAAAGTTAAAGATACATAATATTACAGTTCCTTGAAATGACAAAGATTAATGCATAGAGACGATTATTAGGATGTAATTTGTGGGTGGTAACTAGCAGTGGAATCCAGGATAACGCGCATTTCATCCTATTTGGAACACGTTATCTGGATGTACCTGCATTTTCCCATTAAGTGATGTTGTTCCCACCGAGGCTCGAACCCAGTGTCCATAGTTTCAAACGCCAAAGCGTTATCCACCAGACCACTTTGGCCACGAGAGCCACTTCTTGTGCAACGGGTCATATTAATTGAATTTTAGATTTTCCCGTCGATTGATTGGACCGAAGTGCTCGGTCTCAAGTTAATTCAATTCAATGATTATTAGGATGGTTCGGAGTAGATCTTAGCTTTCCATAACCCGATAATTTCAAAACCTACTTGACCGTATCAAAAATACTATTTTAAATTCATTCTAACAACTGTAATACTCTTATTTATTATTTCACTATCACCAGACTTTTGATTGGAAAACGCTTAACCTGTTATGTAAACTTACAATAGCATAAATATGCTTTTCCTAACTTTTGACGTTTACTGTAATTTTCACAGCTTAATTAAAATGATACAGGCAATGGCTTGCTTTGTCTTATTACTGCTTGTTTTATCACTTTTTTCGGCCGAATAGCAAACATAACAAATAGTGAACCAGTGAAATAAAATCTCACACTGACTTTAGTTAAACAAAATTATCAATTAATAGGACGTCCACAAAGACATAGTATCTAAAAGCCTTGTTACATAAATTTTCCACAATCAACTGTTACGAGATTTTCTAATTAACTAGCTAAATAAACAATTATACAAAACAGTCATGGTTTCACTCACACCCACGTACACACACACACACTAGATTTAATTCCATAGCATGCGACTGTATTAGTACGCATATGGATGATATGTTTTGCCCGGAATGTTATTCACGAAATGGTACCACCGCACGAAACATATATCCAGTACGAAATTGAATTCTACCACAATGACAAAATTCCTCTCTCTCACACACACACTACTCTTAAATGAAAGCGTACCACAGGCGCTCTGGTGATGTACTAGCATAACAGAAAACATCAATGTTACAACTAATAAAAAATGTAAAAAGGAATAACCAAAAGAACTACACTTACTTCCTTAGAATACGCCAATACTAATTCGGATGTAACATTTTTAAGCTGATTGCAAAGTTCATCGACAGTGGAACGCCGTTTTGAACTGATTTTAGATGAATCAACCAATTTATAAACTAGTGATATAAGTTTCCTCAAAGAAGACTGAAGAAATTCACCAACATTAGCAGTAGATCTCTCTGTTGGATTAGTAAATATACTATTCTAAAATGAAAGAGACAAGAAAAAGGTCACAGTAAACAATAGCTACGCAACTAATAGAACTACACAATTGTAATCATGATTAGAATGTACACCATATAGATACCGAACTAATTAAATGTGTACTACACTTAACGTTTACATTGTATCACATAACTTGAAAGCTTATATTATATTTGTTACATATCTATCGATTGTGCAACTTTAAGATTACAATTAACACTTGGAAACAATGTGGACACTTAGGAATACATTACATAACAACCATCTTAGACCGACAAAATGTTAGGATGTAATCTTAATCAAGCAGAAATATTAAGATATACCTTAAAACCATCTATCATAAAATGCGTTATCTTCTTATCTACCTAGAAATTGATTATATTTATAATAAGAATTTTCAAGTATTGATTTTTGTAGGGGTTTAATTTGATTGGTTGGAGGATTTTATCATGAGCTGACATCAGTTAGAGAACCATTGGAAAACCAGCTGGGAGTACTGGACAGCCAGCTGCTTTGTCACCCTGGTTTGGGACTCTTCAACAGTACGCACCCACCACCAGGGTTCAGACCTACGACCTTCTGATTACAAGGTCAGCTAACTCGTAGACCATTAAGCCACTGGGACCCGAACCAACGGGCAGCCCATGAATTCTAACTTCTGCCGATTCATGGCATAGTGCGACCACTTCGCAATGTTTTCTTCGATGAGTTAGAGGCTAACCTTCAACCTGCTTCAGCCTATTGGTCACGGCTTCCCACTAGAACAAAACAGCTGCCCAGTACTACCAGCAGGTTTTCCAATGGTTCCCTAACTGATGTCAGCTCATGAATGAAATCCTCGAACCAATATAATAAGAACTTTCTACACTGCTGGAATTCACTACACCTTAAACCAATGCGTATCCGTATTACAGTCTAACAACACAAAGTGCATATAATCAAATATTGCGTCAGTTTGTCCTAGTGGCCTGCTTGTACTTGTTGGCATATTACCTTGAAACTCCATTTAACCCTAACGTATTGTTCATGTATCAGACTATGAGCCATAATTGTTACATAGGGGCTGAGAATATTACACAGTCGCTGAAGTTGAATTAGTTGAAATGACATCTTTACCTACGACCATCTGGTTGAAAATCAAGTGCTTAAACCACTGAACCATATCTCGAAAGTTGGAATACAGTAATTTTGAACAATACTATTAGACTATTAAAAGTAAAGGGAGGGGAATGTGTGAAGACGTTTACTTACTCTACAGAATAACAATTTTATATCAGATACTAGTATTCCAATGCTCATAGTATATGGTTGAATCGTAACTCTAAGTAAGTTGTTTATTTAATAGAAATGGAATCTAGAATGCGCGCATTGTCTTAATTGGGTTTGTTAGCTGACTGAACCTGCATTTCAGTGCAGTAGTTTTCAAACTAAGACCAGGGAGCTGCACCCATCATTTCGAACGCCAAAGTTTTACCTAATACACCCCTAAACCGCTTGTCTACATTGTGGTCGCGACTACTGTTAACTTATACACTCAAGAAATATTCCGCGTATACAACATATACACATAAATACAATAAACTGTCATACAGTACATAAATAAAATGGTTTACCATAACCACAGTAAACTCTGTATAAAAATAACAAAAAATACATTACTTCGAACCCATTTAGAGCTTCTAGAAGTTTGCCAGAAGCTGGTAATCGAATGCCATTAGATTTGTGAACTCCATTGAAAACTGATTGAATTATCTCTACTGAATCCGATAAGGAATTCGAAACAAAACTTCTTGAGTCACGCGCGATTGGGAGGTCAGGATATCGTAAACACACCTGAAAACAACAGAAAGACAGAATTTTCCTTAGTCAATAAATCAAAGAAGCTATATGAGCATATCCTAAAAATTAAACTGGAGTGCGTAATTTCACGGAATTCAACCAGTAATAAATATTTATCACATAATTGTAGCCACCTAATTATTTAATTACCTAAAACTCACTTGCCTAAAGCATTTTTTGATGTACCAGTTTTTGAGCCATACTAATTGTGTGAGGGCTGATTATACTACCCGGTTGTCTTCGCTGAAGTGGAGTAGGTTTCAAGCCTGTAGCTTATTCACTCAACGTCGAATATCTAAACCAGCGAACCAGCACACAGCACTATTCAAATATACGCTCCAAATTCTAATGTTTTTATAACCTGAAATCCATTAAAGTAAATAAATTAATTCCTAACTCAAGTGACTCAACGACTTCACATTTGATATGAGATGTTTGCAGGTGGTTGTACAAATTAAAACTAGAAGCTCCAATAAAGTAACGGCAAACCAGTGACTGCACCAAGCAACACACGCAATACACTACACAAAAGATACTACTCGCTTGCTATAATAACTCACTAGTTGAAATGGCATTTAGAATAATGACTCTCGAAAAATTCAGAAACTGAGAAAGTTCATGTGCATACTTGTCTTACCATATAGTTAAATGAGCTGGTTAATCTGCATAATTCATTAAGGTGACTTACTTTACAAGATGTATATAATAATGGAGTATTGTTTTTTAATATGTAGTTGGAAGATTCAATTCTTCTTCGGTCTTCAGGATCAATTAAATCAGCTGCGCGTTTACATGACAAATTGATAAGTTGTAATACACGAGGGTGAAAGTTATTCCACAATCGGTTAAGTTCCTAAAGTTTGAAATAAAAAGATTCAGTAAATAATTTCTCTACCTAAATTATTTAGGAAAAATAGCAAATAAAAGGACATGTTAACGAAATCCAACCAATGTTTCAAACTTGAAAAGCATAATGGTTACTAAAAACATGCCATTTGTAGGAATAAGAAAAGTTGGTTTCTAATAACTTTTCTTATACTGAAATGCCTCTCCACTTGGCAATAAAGTCACTGGTGTTGAGTAAAATCTACCAAAAAATTTTACAATTCACAAGTACAGAAAGAGTACGACATATTAAGGAGTACACAGAAAGAGATGATGTGATTCGGAAACATATTGGCACCCCTATTAATATAACACCTTGAAAAAGGTTTCCATCTTAAAATACGTGTTCTTCAAATTCCGAAATAAAATATAGGAACCATTCTTTAAATCCTTGAATAACTTTTCAAAATTGGGTCAAGATTTTAAACTTCACTTTACCTACTATAATTAGGAAAAGTGGTGCCATTAGACTGCATATAATATGGCTCACCGCTTTGAGCACGGCAAGAGTAGACAATAGACACCAAAGTCAAATGACCTTGATTCAACTAATCAGATTCTTCTAGGTGAAAAGTAGTACTTAATTTTCAAAGTAGTGTACCTACGACATATTCGTAATTAAAATGAGTCATATAGGGTATATATCTCTGATACGCTGCAAAAACTGGTCCCGAATTCTCATAACAGTGGTCATAGATATATCAAACCAATGTATTCTCTATTTCTTCAGCTGTAGCAGATACTGATTGTATGTACGCAATATATTACCAAGAAAGAGCTTTGATTTCGATAAGTTTAAAAAACCACCAATTATGTAAGACCTACCAATCTTTACAGACTTCTTCATATGAAGTGGTTGCATCTGAATGAGGCTATAGCCCGACAATACTTTTGCAGAGTCATTATCGCAGCACATATGCATGTTTTATTCCTTTCTATCAACACATTTTCCAAAAAGAAGTCAAAAACCAAATCTAGGAGACATTTTCAACAAAATTTATGACTAGTAACCATTTGTAATGCTGAGCTATCTGATTGGTGAGACCAAGGCCATCTAACTTTGGTGTCTATTGTTTACTCTTGCCTTGAGCACTTGACTTTTAGCCATTAGGTGCAGGTTCGAATCACACCTCATCCACTTTAACCTAGACAGCTGGGTATCCCCATCAGTCCTCACACTAAAAAACATTATTTTGGGTGATCGAGTTCTAATAGCAATACATATGGCTCATTCATCATCATAGATTTGTATTGATTTTCTTGTGCACGTGGGCCAATTACTGAGTAAAATCAACCTATCAAAGCTATTTTTATAATGGTCCCCTAAGAAACAACAGTGAAAGGGGATCAGAAGACAAATAGATAAGAATGGATTCGAGTATTCAAAGTACTAATTTTTAAATACTGCTGCAAGAAATATAGGTTTAAGTTTAGCATCTGATTTCTATTTCCAAGGTGACTAGGTTCTGAATGCAGAACTTAACACAAAAATGCAACAGTTCCAGTCGCCCCATTTCATGAAGCATACAAATGTAGAAACAACGTAAAGGAGCTATAATGAAAGGAAATTCACGATATGAAGGGTGATGAAGACGCACTATAGCTGGAATATATAAAGAGCGAATGCATCTGCACAATTTAGAACGATTTTAAGCAACCAAGCGTCCTCAGACAGCAGTTTACATCTCCCCACGTGTCTCAAACCAACAGTCAAAGATTTCATAGGATGATGCCACAGTTAGGTTCAACCATCTCTTAACTCTTTCCCTATGTCAGATAACATTCCTCGATGTGGAAGGCGATTATTTACCAATTATCACTGACCAGCATACCATGTTAAGACAGTAAATCTGGACTCTAGTGGTAGACAATTAAACCCGTAATTCCTTAATGACGAGCTGCGTTTTGTTTTACAGAGCCCTCTACACTGTCTGTGGATTATACTTGCAGTGGTCATACTGGTTCCATTTGAAATATCTTCATCGTCTGATATCCCTTAACTACCAGAGCCTCAGCAGCGGTAATAGCTTTCGATTAGATGGCAATCATATATTTTCCGTCAATAACCATTCCAAAAAAAACTGTAATGAACCAGGTAACATTTTACTTATGCTATGCTTATTAGAATTACTTTTACGTCACACTTTAACCAGAATAACTGAGATGCTGTACGTTTAAAAGCGACAAACTTAATAGCTCGTTGATATAACGCATTTCACCTGCATCATATTCCAAGGTGAATTAAATGCTCTTAAATGCAACTTTTGCCATATTCACAGCATAAGACACTAAGTGATACTTAGAATCTTCAAAATACTATGCTGCACAGTACAGTTCCTGAATTCAGAATCTTATTTATTTTTTAAAGAGGTGTGTACACTGAGATGGGAAACAGGATTTCATTTTATGAGGAGTTAATAACATGATATCTAGTAACCGTCCAAATTGTAAATATGCGAAAATAGAAATGAATAACATTTATATAACTGAACATATTCTACGTAAAACGAACATCACAAAAACAAGCCACCTACTCGGTGAGATGCAACCGTTTGGAATTCTGTTATTCCGCTAAGCACAACCTCAAAATGTTGGTTGAGAATCAGACCGTCAGCTATATCGGCCAAAATAAGTAATCTACTCAGAGCAGCAATAAGGGTATTGATGGCTCGACACACGTCACCTTGGTACGACGTGCTCACTGGGTCAGAAAGGAACTTAGAGACTGTGGAACAAAAGTACTCTCCTGTATCAAGAACGTCTGTCTTAGCAGTTAAAAAGTCGGATACCAGCGATGGAACACTCTCAGCAACGCTAAGGTTATCGCTTATAGATTTCAAAACCTGAACAAGAATATCTTAAAATCTTCATTATAAGTTACTTCTCTGATCTTTGATAGAATCTCGTCTTGTGGTTTGGACTTGGGCTGGTAAGTTCCAGTGATGTGTCTGTTCCGTGTAAAACTCTTCACCTTTGCAATAAGTGGTTCTAAAATGCATTCCACAGCTTTTGTGCGTGTCTCTGTACCGTATAATGGCTTGAATTCAATAAATTCCATCAACTCACACCGTAAACAGCGCTTGACCTTAAATAACCTTAAATTTGACTTCGTAGAAGGTTAAGCAAAAAAAGTACAATGTCCAATCCAAAATCCAATATCGTTTTTATCAGCTGGTGTAAACCAATTTGTTTTCTTTGTACTCGCCTCTTGATTGTGAGATAAAGGTTCTTGATCTTCAGTAAACTTCTGAGCAGCTCGTCCGGCTACAAGACTGTCGTAGTTTTGGTTGACTCCGAAAGGAGCAGCGCTAGGATTACTTATATGTGGCTTGTAGTACGAGGTTTGTTAAAACTGTTACTACTGTGAATGAAGTTGATCATTTCGCCGGTTAGTCCTTCGGTATCGTCTTCAAAAGAAGAGAGCTAATAATAGTAATAATAGATATAATTAATGAAGTTATTCAGACTAACAGACAGAAAAAGAGATAAAGAAAACGTAAAACACACAGCTGATTAAATTTGGAGTTGATATATGTGTCAGTAATAAAAATAAGTGTATTTAGAATTGTCTCGAGAGTAAGACGAGAGAGAATGTAAAGGAGTAAAACGACGATCTTAGTTGTATACCCCCGAATGGTGTATGGGATTTTATAGGGATAGGCCATTTGGCTGTAGTCTTTGAGTCGCTGCATGTGTCCAGTCTTCGCTTAAAGGCTTCCACAAACGGTGCCATAGCTACATCTGCTGGTAGGGTGTTCCAGGGACCGTAAACCTGCAGTGAAAAGAAGTGGGAGCTCACCCGGGTCCTTGCCCTCTGCAGAGATTTCATTCTGGGATTACACGATGAGGCTTATACCTACTTAATGGCAAAACGTCTTTGCTTAGGTGATTCTACTCATTTACCTTGTAGGCAGTAATCAAATCCCCCGAAGCCGACAGTAGCTAAGTGTCAGTAGGCCTAATTTCTTTAGCCTTTCGTCATATGTTGTGGGTGCAATAATACTATGCACTTCAGGGTGTGGTCTGGCGTATTTTTTGTACAGCCTTAGAGAGAGCTCAGGAGAGAGTGTACCCGACTGTTTAATAATAATAATCGCTTTATTCCCCAACAATAACAATTTATAGCATGGAATTTTCAGCGTTTCTTCTACATATTGCAACGGTTTAGCTCTGTTTATAATTATATAAATATATAAAATGTTAAAATATTGATAGTTAATAGGAAAAAATAAAACCCCAACAAAATCACACCATTGCTAGGTCATAGTGAATAATAAATAATATAACAAATAACACATGCATTAATATGCATCGTTACATTTTATAGTTTAGTTAATGATTTAAAAGTTGTAAAAGTTCTTTTCTGATATTTCTCTTCACACAATACTCGTGCCAAATATGGAACGGTCGAATTTTTATATTTTGTAGTACGAGCATAAACGTTTATGAAATTCCTTCTGGTCTTACCCGAAGAGATACAAGGAAACAATTGTGAATAAAGAGGATGTTCACCATCATATAAGATAACTTTAGCTAAGTGTTTACAAGAATTCATATGCCTATTGACAGCAGTGTCACTTAGTTGAGTCAAAGCGATAGCACTGACCCTACTTACAGCCTTCAATGTTCTTAGTAGTGTTACATGGTCTTTCTTGAGTAGCCCAGGGAAGAATAATGGAGAACGATAAAGAATGATGGGCAAAACACGTGAATTAATAAATTTTATGAGAAGAGATTGGGTTATACCTGAGTGCCTCAACTTCTCTATGTAATAAGTCAGACGGAAAACTTTCTTAAAAACTATAAGAAAATGAGACGACCAGAAAAGGTTTGAAGAGAAACTAATGCCAAGATAAGAAACACTTGACTTACTCTCTATCATGGTACCATCAATATTACAACAGAGTCGAAAGCTGCAGTATAGTCTAAAAAAGCTGTTCGAACGAACTTAGCACCCTTATCAAGGCAGGAAACAATATTGTGGTGTAGTGCGATGGCTGCATCTAATGTACTTCTTCCACACTTATAAGCAAAATGCTTAGGGTCACTAAAAGCTTTTAAAGAAGGTTTAAGAATATTCAAAAGGAGTTTCTCCATAGTTTTCAAAAAAGGAGAAGTTATAGCGACCGGTCTACACTTTATACCTGCTCCAGAAGGTGATATCTGTACAGGTACAACCTTGATTTCTTTTAAGTCAGCAGGTACCGTTTCCCTGTTAAATGATGCGTTAAAGATTTGAGTCAGAGGATGACACAAGATGTCTGCACACTTTTGAAGACGAATGCTTGGTACACCATCTGGACCAAGGCTGTGTGTTGGATTTAATGATTTCAAACATAATAGTACATCCTTTTCTTTAAAACCCGGAAAATGACCATTATCTTGGCTAGGTACATCAGGTACAACCATATTAATTTGTTTCTTGATAAATGATTTGTTTAAAGCATTAACATCAGAATAAGCATCAACAGACATTTGTTTTTTACTTGTAAGTTTATTGAAAAGTTTCCAAATGTTTGAAGGATTTTTACATGATAAAAATTTTTCATTATATAGTCTGTTCAACCTTTCTATTTCAATTTTTATAAGGGTGTTTATTTTACGGACACCAGTATTATCACAATTCTTATACAACTTCCCTTTTAGTCTTCTAAGTTTTTTCAGTTGCACAGAAGAGATTCTGTCAAACCTCGAAAACAGTGTTTCATATGGACAGCAAATTTCCAAACAAAACTTCAGATAATCGGTTATATTAGAGACAGTAGCATCCAACTTATCGTCAGTAAATAGTTCCCAGTTGGTATCATACAACATGCTTCTTAGTTGTAGAATGTCGTCATAGGAATATGAACGTTCACGTATCTTCTTTGTTAAATGACTAAACAATTTTTGTTGTAACTTGCCGTACACTTTCGGTAAAATACGAATAATACAGTGGTCAGAGTTTAGCAAAGGAGCTCTCCTTCGGGTTTCATATACATCACGGTCATTTATGAAAACCAGGTCTAGTGATTTGTCCAGACGTGTATTAAACTTGACTAGATTCTCATGACCAAGTGAAGTAAGAAAGCTGTGATCACATGAATTAAAATCACCACAGATTATAGACAATGAGGTCCCGAATGCAGGAGCAGCGAATTCAGTAAACTCATCTGCAAACATAACTATATTAGAAAGGCTACAATTGGGTGTTGTGTAAATATTTGTTATGTATATATAAGAATATTTACTTAAGTGTTTTGGGCGACACCTGACGGTTATGCAATCTATATTGTCATTAGAATAATTGAAGCAAACGTGATTTGATGTAGACCAACTTGTGTTTATAAAAGTGCCCAAATCGACAAAAATGGGGAAAATCGTGTCTAAAATGGGGACAAAATGGGGAAATAGTAAGGTTTTCCCCCTTTTCCCCATTCTCCCCATTTTGTCCCCACAATTACCCCATTTTCCCCATTCTGTCCCCACAATTACCCCATTTTGTCCCCACAGTTTCGCCAGTCTGCACTCGGAATTCGCATAGTTCCCCAATTTAGTCGCCAAGATTACGCCATTCCGTCCCCAAAAATCGCATTATTTCCTTATACTGTCCCCGGAATTTCTCTATTCTTTAATCGAATATTACCACCTTAATTTGTCTCCCTTTTTAACGAATATTCCACCGTTAACCTGGTAAATTTCCCCCCTATCACTCATTTACTACAGCCTTATATTGATTACGTCAAACAACTCAAAAGTCAAATCAAGGTTTTTTACCGGAAAAAATTATATTTGATTTTTTTGAGTTAAAGGAAAACAGTTTACAAGATTTCGGTAAATTAATTCTTTAGGATTAATGAACAGTTTCAGTTGCGATTAATACACACAAGTAGAATGATAGCCTTGTTATTCGATATCTCATTGCACTTGTACTAATTGTCCCCATCGTCAAGTAGATCCATTGAAGTGTCCTGAAAAGAAAGAAAAATTATTCATTAAGATAGTAATCCACACTGGCACTTATACAGACAGTTGACACTGTAATAATGAAATACTTAACGTGTTTATTCAGGTTTGAAATTTTATTTCATTAATGAGTATAATTAAAATTATTTGTCTATATAATAGAAATACTCACACTTAAAGACCTTAAGTTTCAGTAATTTCTACAGCATGTACTTATTTAAATGGTAACTTACAGGAGAGATCCTCTGATCACTTTTCTTATTGTCAACTGCAACCTTTAAAAAATAAAAACACAATTTAGTTAATTGACATTTATAACATGAAAGGGTTTGTAGTGTATACACTGCAATGCTACTATAGTAGCATTAATTTAACCAAAAACGTTTACTTACTCTTCGCCGGCTCTCCCTTTTGTCTATGCGATCACGTATATCATGGAAGTAGGCCTTTACAGTCTTTTTTAGAATTTTCTTAACGTCGTCATCAGAAATTGTAGCCGAAACGAACTTGCTGACAATGACGGCTAAAAAAAATAATTAAATAAAGCAAGCTTACACGTTATAACTGCATAAAAGGTGCATTTAGTGAGAGCCGATTTCTTTGGAGTTCCAAATGCTGTAAAACGACTTGACAGCTTAGGCTCCATAACATAATTTAGTATCGCTCTCAACGAAGACTCCGGATTGAAAGATAATTTTTCCACCATTTTCATCATCTGAAAGTAAGTAAAGGTTTATTGTGAACTTACGAATGATTCTTTAAATTTCGGATTTTTAAGTGACGCTTCTAGTTGGGTGAACTCTTCTTCAGTAGTTACGGGGAATTGCAGTTGACTATTGTCAATGGTTGATTTCCCGCTTCCAACGGCGGCCACACCCGTTGACTTATTCACTGACAACAATTGCGCCATCATTGTTTTCAGCGACTGAAGTTCTGCTTTCATTTCTCCTTTAAAGGAATGCATTTCTCCTTTAAGGGACTGCATTTCCTCTCGAATTGACTGCAACTCATTGGCTACTTTATTATCTGATTCACAGTTTTCCTTACTGCAAAGTAAATACTAATGAAAAGTGACATACGTAGTCTGCTGAACTGGTTGCGCTATAGGTGAAG